AAATGATTTAAAAATATGAAACATTTGTAAAGTATCCCTTTAACCAAGTTGTGTCAAACTGGTTCCACTGAACCTAGTTGCTTAAATGTAAGGAGTAATATATGTTTACTATTCACATAATATATAACAATGTGTAATACTCTTTACATTTAAAGGTGCAATAAGTAAGAATGAAGTAATGGTGACATGTTGTGGTCAGGTTTAGGTACTGCAGTCCATTTTCTAAACAAAAACTAACTGTCCAGTTCCATGAGTTTAATAGGTGTTACAATTTATGGATCAGCACCCAATGATTGTAGATGATTGTAAAAGACGAGTCATACACAGTAAGGTGATAAGTAGATACATACTTTGTCATATCTGGTGGTAACACTTTGAGTGTTTTACGGTAGAGGTCACTACACTTATTACGGTAGTATGCCTCTAGCATTACAGGAAGTGTAGTTGTTTGCCATATTTGTCATGCTGTATTTACTCCATACTATGGAACCATAAAGTTAATTCATGCCACAAAGCCTAAGTAGTTACTGAAACGTAAACCTTTATCCACCTAAATTCTCCTTCAGTTTTCTTGCAGCTTCTTCTCATTGAGGTCGACTTCCCAGAAAATGTAAGATTCAAAAATAATTTCCAGCTTAGCGGGTTTTGACATCACATGAACTTGAATATTTGTCATTTACTCCATCTGCAGAAAACAATAAAAACAGAATCATGACCAGAGCAAAGCTCAAAGGATCAAAATTAGTTAGAAGTATCAGTTTTAGAACATTTTAGGAAAATTTGTTTTAAAATATTGTTCCTCTTAATTTTTATTTAGCTTTTCATGCTTTTTTCAAACAACAGTGGTTAAAGAAGATATCCTTAAGCCATGGGTAATGGTTCTTGAGAAATATCATTGATGTTTTTGATGTTTTTGATGTTTTTTGCATTATTAATCCTCAGTTAAACCCTCTTTGCTGAAGCTTTTATTCCTCTATGCTAAGCTAAGATTCATCCCTCTAATCATTCTCTTCAGCTGCTTGAATCTGAGCAGAGTCAAAGGAAGCTGTTGTTTCTCTCCAGCGCTCAATGAGTGAAGCAACATACCACATGTACACGAGGATGTGGGTTTCAATCCTGTAATGTTCTTGCTGCAAGGCAACAATGCTAACCAGCTGCGTTATCACCACGGCTCCTACAATTTACTAATATCACAAAGAAAAGTATTTCTAAATTTGACCTGGGATAAACAAAACAAATAAAAATTGTTTTAGGATTCTGTGGACTGAGGAACACAGAAAGGACTGAGCTTTGTATCAACCTAAAAAGATCTCTGCAATAATTACGTATAAGCCGATTCAAGGTTTGAGCTGGCTAGCTTGACTGAGCAGTAAAATGATTCCTTGGTATGAATCGTGAAAAGCCTTGGCTCACTTATTACATCTACAAGTTTGACTGCCTTTCATCTTCGCCGCGGCGCGCTCATCCCATTGTTGCTGCTGTGAGTTCAAAGAACTCTCCAGGTGATTCTGAGGTTCTTCTCACTTTTTTGCCTTTTTTAGGTTTGTGCCATCGTGTATTTTTTGGGCATTTTACAGATAAGGTAGAACGTTGGTAATAAAAAGTCAGCTGGAGGATTTAACTGCTGTGTGTTAGCAGAGATGTGTTGATTGTTTCAGTTCAGGAACTTGGTCTACATGAAGATCCAAAACATTTCAGAGCTGAACAGGATTCCATCCGGGATAAAAGCTTGGTTTTCCCAAAAGAAAAGACATCTCCCTCTCTTCTTACTTTGGTTTTATCATCAAAGAGACGCAATGCACATCAGTGGAGAAATTTAGAGGGGAGGGCCCTGTTTTGTGAATAATGCATTAATAATCGTTTGTAGTTGCTTCTAAAACAGAGAGGAGGGGGAAATGTGGAGCATGCCGTGGTTGCGGTCATAGGAACTGACTTTGAATGCACCTAACGGCTCTGTGAATGAACCTGTCACTTATTTCTCTTTGTTCTGGCAGCCTGTCGGGATGTTTCTGTTTTTGAACTCTCGTCCTCATTTTTCTCAGCGTGCATTCCTGCAGCTGCCAGCGTTACAGACTGAGCTCATTCTGAAGCGTGCCACGATATGACACGCATCAAGCTTATGCTCAAAGCTCCCTGCATGCACTGCGACAGCGACAACTCTGGCAGGAAAACTCCAGCTGCAGCGTCAGTAATTATATGACGGCACCAGAGGGAAATGTGTCAAAAGCGCAACAAGAACCCTTCTGTGTGACCTATACCAGTACTGATGGTGTGTTTCTCTGGGACCCTGGTAGGGTCTCCCAAGGTACGGTGGTTGGTGCAGCGCCAGACAAAGCAAGACCTGAAGATGGTTTCTACCATAGACATTGATCAATACGTGACGTCTGGGATTTCAAAGCGAAGGAATTTAAGTGTCTTGGTATTTTGTTCATACATGATGATAGGATCAAACGATTGGGGATTTGTCTTAATAAGGGTGTAGCTCCAGTCTGTAGTGGTAAAGGGCTCAGATTAAAGGAAAAGCTTTCGATTTACAGCTTGTGTGAGAGGTTGTGAGACGGGCTCACCTCAGCTCTCCTGGAGAGAAGCTGTACTTTGTTGCACTCTGAGTCACCTTGGTTATGAGTTTGATGACATCTGCCTAATGCAAATTGAACACCTCAGCTACTTTTGGAAATGTCTGATGAAGCTACATTTGCATGCACTCTGAGCTTTACGACAGCGTTTGCCTGAAGTCCTGCTTCTCCCTACAGATTACTAATAGCTTGTGCACAAAAACAAAGCTTGATTTCTCATTTTAGCGACAGCACATGACCACAGAAATCCCACCGACAAAGACAAACAAGCTTCTAACGCGGATATAACCTTAAACTGTCTGATTGCTGAGCACTCAGTGCTGGTTGTCAAGACTTGATGTGAAACTTTCAAAGAATCAGAGATTATTTTGTTTATTTTCAAACCTTGACATACAATCTCCTGTTGAGCGCTGCATGTAAAGAAGAAACAACGGCAGCATCCAGACTTACCGATAATTAAAAACTGTGCATTATCGGCATATCTCTTGAGTAGAATCTATAAATTTGATTGTGTTACATGAAAGCAGATTAATTATAACAACTGTGTGATGGTAAAAATGGACTCTGCCCTGACTCTGATGGATAAATATTTGCTGCAGCAGTTGCTTTCCTTATCCTCTTGTTTAAAGATCAGGGTCGCTGTTTGAGAGGGAGATCAGGTCACCTGCTGCATTTATCAGCCACAGGGTGCTCTAGGAATTTAAAAATATTTCTCTGTAATGCAAAATTACATGACTGCGCTTAAACTGCGACAAAGTTTTAAAAATTAAAGCTATTTAAGGTGACACACAACACTTAAGTCTCGGTCGTGCTCAGACTAGCCGTTAGCTCATCAACAGAGGTTGTCCAGGAGGTTCTCTGCAAAGGGTAAGATAGTAATTATTCATGATTTTTACATAAAATTCTCAGTGCAGAAGAACCTCTCTTTAATTTTCACATCAACCCCAATAAGATGTGGCCCAGGGTAATGAGGCACATGGCTCATATTTCTTTGATGTGAAATGATTTGATGTGAAAAATTATAAACTCAATATGATGAGGGAACAGTTCAAATTTGACTGATAAAGAACAATTTTTACAGTTTGAAATAAAAGAATGTATGGAGTGCCACAAGGGCGAGTGTTTGGTCCCAAAAGTTTCAATACATCAGGGTGATGTCTGTAAAACATCTACAGCCTTTACAGTTTCTTCTGTTCATAAATTATACAAATACTAATTGTTTTGAAAAATACTGAAAGCCTTGTTGTGAAATGCCTAAACTTCCGATGTTAAATTATTTATTATTTTAGAAATTACAAAATGGTAAATGTTATATTTGATCTTCTATTTTTGCCAGTTTCTCATGTTTATATATATATATATATATATATATATATATATATATATATATATATATATATATATATATATATATATATATATATAATGAACTTATCATTAATGGTTTTCTGCAGAATTAACACTTCACTGCTCTGTCTGATGCACGGTGACATCTAAACTGTGACAAAATTCTTACAGTATTAAGTACAATATCTATGCATGCTGTTGGGCTTTCTATTTATGTCCGTTCTGATCAAACTGAGCTGCACAACACACACCGCAGACTACGAGATGAAAGGAAACATTCCACTCAGAAGATGGAGCAATAATGTTCACAAATTTCACAGCAGTCCAACTCAGTAGCTGCTGAAATATTTCAGTCTGAGCCTCTCTGATGGCCAGACGGTCCCTGCCAAAAGCCTTGTCATCACCATGAATAAAGTTCAACACAACAAGGTTATTAATAGGCTGATTGTGAAGTCATTGTAAGGTCGTCTGTCACTTTCCTGGATATCTGTGGACCTGTTTGGCTCAATAACATGCTTTTTCCATGTAGCCTCTGAGTTAATAAGAACACCAGTTTGGTGATGAAGGTTTCAGGTTGTGGGGTGAATAGATTATGACTGGGACACATTTCAGTCATATTAACAACAAATGATCAGATGGTGAGGATTCTGGAAGCCAGATTTGCTTTTCTGTCCATTTTGCAGTGAAGTAAACCATTTTACAAAACAAGGCAGAAATGAACACAACAGCCTGCTTTTGTTTCTATTGCTCATTCAAATGTAAAGGCCGAGAAAATGCACCCAATTGAAAGATCTTTAGTTTATCGGTGAATGCAGCTGCGGCCTTGTTTGAACTGCTACTAATCAAGTACCATTTCCACTGACTTTTAACATCTCTGACCTTTACCCTGATCCTTCTTAGCCTCCGCACCTGTTGGCAAATTACAGACGGCTCAGCGGCTGTCACCACCTCCCTACAAGATATTTCATAAAATTCTGCAGGCCTCCTTGGACTTGGACGTGAGGGACATCTTTAAATAAAGGCACAAAGCAGTTCATTTTGATCACGTTTACTTATAAAGAGTCAAACACCCAGGACAACTGTTTGGATATTTTTATTAAAAAGTAAAGAAGACATAAGTCGGTCATCAAGGCTAACCCGTTTTCCTCCCATAATTTACCGATGGCAGTGATTTGTGTCGGTCTGATCTGACCCGGGGACCCTCATCAGCTCTGCACAAACAAATCAGGAAAAACTATGGTCTCTAACCAGAACCTTTATAGGATTTTCTTTTTACACAAGAAACCTCCAACCTGCCCAAACCCAGCTTTAGACTATAAATATATATATGTATATATCTAAAAAAGTGTAAAAGCATTTTGCTGTTTCCCCCAAGAATAAAGAAAGCATCTACAGCTGGATGAGGTTCAGAGACGAGCCTTTTGCTTGCTCTTACCATAAAGAACATGACAGTCTTTACCATGTTGGGGGGGAGGCAATGATGCCAAATTTAACTTTATATAACAAACTGATCAGAGAACAGCTGGTGGCCAAATGGAACCAGAAAGGTGAGCGATAACAGCACAGGTGAAACAAACAGCACCGTAGAGGGAGAGCCTCATCAGTATACACAATTATATACAAACACAGGTGCAGAATCAGAAAAATATCCTCTCTACGCTCAGAGGGTGATGTCCCATGTAAGAACATTAGTTTGTGTACACTTGCAGCACTTATTCATTGAAGTGCAGGAGTAGGGCGCCCCCTGGTGACAGAACCTGTTCTATGTTTGTTGTGCACACTACTGCAGTGTGAGGGCTTAACAAGCCAGATGTGTTGTCTGTGAATTTACTGGATGTCATTAAAGGCTCACGCACAAGTTGTTATTAACAATAGCAAATAAAATGTGCAAAAAAAAAAAAAAAAAAAGAACCCATCAAATATTCATAAATGCCCACTTTTCAGACAAATATCACTGGTGTTAAATACTGTTCACACGTTTCTATGCACATCATATAAAGTCTGGTCCTGCAGCTGCTGGCAACAATAGGTGCACTTGACATGAGAAGAGTATCTGAGGTACCAGGATTTGGTTGCTTTGTTTTTTAAAGTGGTAAGCCACTACAGAGGAAGAAAGAGGCTGACAGCTCTGTGAGCCTGAAGTTTTTTGGTTTGTAGACTACATGTTTGAGAATTTAACTTTAAATTTGAACCCAGGCTGAAAAATACTAAATCAAACCCCATTTAACCAAGGGTAGGCTTGCATCTTCTAGCAAGCCGTTTTTAACTTAAAGTTCTGGAGCTTCAAGAGCTTGGAGGAATTTGTCTTAGCAAATGTCTCATTCTTCTTGGTGGAAAACAAGTCACCAATACTAACATGTTACAAATATAAATCAGTTTTCTTTCGTTTTGCAAAATGTGAACAAATTAATTAACACAAAAAGTCATTCTGAGGATTGAGTCCTGCTGGCTGTGGGAGGAGGAAACAAGGAGGAGAAGGGCTCGTGGTTGTTTCTCTGAGGACTGGGACAGACGTTCTTAAAGCAAAAGGAAACAGACTAAAGCAGCTCCCTGGACCTCATGAGCGTTTCTGCCTCTTGGAATGTCGCTGCTGGTTGGACCGCTCCTCATCGCTGCTCGCCCCCCCAGCGTTGGCCCGGCTCCCCCGCTTGCGGGTTCCCCTGGTGTCCCGCTCACCATCGCTGTCCTGCTCCCTGTAATTCTTCTTGCCTGAGGTGACTGTGGTCCTCTCACTTCTCCTCTTGCCACTCTCCTCATCGCTGCTCGCCCCCCCAGCGTTGGCCCGGCTCCCCCGCTTACGGATTCTCCTGGTGTCCCGCTCACCATCGCTGTCCTGCTCCCTGTAATTCTTCTTGCCTGAGGTGACTGTGGTCCTCTTACTTCTCCTCTTGTCACTCTCCTCATCGTCTTCCTCCTCATCCTCATCACAATCATTCTCATCTTCATCCTCGCTTTCGCTCACCTCGTCTTTCTGGCATCGACTATTTCGGCTCCTGTTCGATTTTCTGTTTTGCATCTTCTTTGGCGGCTCCTCTTCCTCCTGCTCATCATCATTTTCCTCCTCCTCCTCTTCCTCCTCAGAGGAAGGAGGTGCTCGGCTGATGCGTTTGCGGGAGTGCCTTCGGAGGTAGCTGAGGCCGGGCAGCAGCTTCTGGAACAGCTCCACAAACATCTGCTCCGTCTTGACGGTGCAGGAGAGCACGGTGCTGCCCTGCTGGTTGTACACTTCGGAATTGGAGAAAACCAGCTTCATGTCTTCCAGGAAATCCTGAGCGTGGCGGTACGAGCCCTGGCTAAACTTGCTCAGCATCGTCTGGAAGTCCATGGGCTCAGAGATGATGTCCAGGTAGTCCTCTGCCTCTTTGGGGGAAACCGGCTCCCTGAAAGGCAGCGGAGAATGTAAGGACTGCCGCTAAAACATGGAAATTCAGGAAAACCACACATTACCACTAGGCTGTGACTTCTAATCTGTTCATTTACCTGACTTGTAAATTATTCCATGAACTGAATGGATGGAATTAAGGAAACTTTCTTTAAAAGGTGCGGTTGACTGAAAACATTTATTTGTTATTTCTGATTATAATCAGTCGCTCAGAGATCGACATGCAGGCTGAAAATGAAAACAGTCTCCTACACCCATCTCCTGCATTTGCATTCTAACATATCTATGTCACACTGAATTTGCATTCATGGTCCCGCCCACCTTGGCTCGTGCCTGCCCACAGGAAGGCCTTTTTTTTTTTACAATGATGTGAGTGCGGAGTGTCTTGGTGATGGCTGAACGCGTTCTGTTAGCTAACCATTAGCAAGGTGTGTGCATATCATCAATAATGCTGATGCAAACTCAAGCATTTCAAAACAGGAGCATCATAGCTTCGTTTGTTTATTAATGACCAGAAGACCATAAGACATTGATAGGTTTTTTGGTGACTTGTACCATTTTGTTTGTTTTAATGTAGGTTTTGTGTTAGATTTAGTAAACAAGTAAAAATTACTTGTATAAAGGGGTAGGGACATATAAGTTTCCATTTCAGCCTACTCCTACTCAAACAGAGAAGAAGGGATGATGATATGTATTTTTTTCTGTTTGTGATATTTTTTTAAAAAGTATGTATGTTTTCTTTGTTTGAAATAAACTAAAAAAAAATTTACACTAGAAAATACTGAAAATTCATTGAATAAATGAGTAAGCCACAGCTTTGACTAGTCTGGAAACCTTACAGCAAATGTGTGAACGCGTAAAATTCATCTTTAGAGTTAAACTTGAATTAGACAGAAATCCTGACAGACGGGGCTAAACCAAACACACCTGAAGGGCCAACTGTAACGAAACTTCATCAGCTTCTTGAGGATCTCCTCACACCTCTCCAGCTCCATCACCTGCCGTCTCATTCCTGTCTGAGAACTCTGTCGCACCTGCAGAAACGTGCACAAAAAACACCTGTTAACAATCCTCATCTGCCTTCTGGATTCCTGTGTGGGTGTGACTTCTTACTAGCTCGTCGATGTCTGCGAGGCTGTTGGGGCCGGCTCTCTGCTTGCTGCTCTGACTGCTGGAGGACGCCTGCCTCTTGGCTTTACTTTTACCGCTTTTAGGCCGAGATGAAGACTGCTTGGTTTTCTTCCTCGGCCTCACTGCGAGCATAGGAACACCAAATTTGTTATATAGAATCCCAAACATCTTCTCTGGCGCTGATGTGCTAATCTTCATCGTTATTCCAGACGTTGAGGGGGGGGGGGATTATCCTGCCACATACTTTAAGTCAAGTCAGAGTGAGACACAAAGCTTCAAAGCAGGCTTCACACCCGGGTGGTGCTACATGACAACACAGACAATAGAGGCAGAACAAGGACGACGGATGGGTCTTCCCATCAGCATTCCTCTCATTCTCAAACATCAGCACCAAGGTCCGCTGTTTCCAAAACCAACTCACCTCTTTCTTTCAGACAGTTCAGTTCTGCAGAAATCACACTTTTCATATAAAATCGAGAAGCTATTTTAAGTGGTTAAATGTGGATGTGAGGTTGGTTCTGTTGCACCAGAATAGGGAAAAGATGATGGCGGTTTTGTAAAACTAATTTCCCCAGAAGACACTCACAGCTGTGTCCCATGGCTTTGTAGTCATTCTCCTCTTCATCCTCCTCATCTTCCTCAGAGCCCTCATCTTCAGACTCCTCTTCGCTCTCCTCTTCATCTTCATCCTCATTATAATTCCTGCAATCGAGGAGATTCAGAAGATTTTCAGGTTTCTGCAAACCCTGAAGCGTGCAGCAGAGGAAGGTTAAATGCTAACAGCCGTTTTAATGGAGATGTGGAAAACTTGGTGATAATAAATTATTTTCCTTTTAAGCATTGAATAAACATCAAGGATGTCTGTGTTTCACCAACAGGCTCTACTGATCTGGAATCAGCGGACACACCGACTGCTGTTTGAACTAACTAAGACTTCACCTGGAGCGGGAGCCCCTCCTGGCGACTGTGGGCTGGCAGGCTGGACACAGCCACTCCCCTGCAGGGATGCGGTACAGAGCCGGACGCAGGCAGAGCAGATGGAAGGCCTTGTTGCACTCGTCACACAGGATCAGCTTCTCATCGTCACCTTCAGCAGAAAGGAATTAGTCAGTTTTCTTCCTGCTTAACAAAGTTTTCACTCTTAACCTCTGATATTTTTCCATATTGTATCGATTTTCGGTTCCTTAATGCCTGATTTTCTGTGTTTCTGCTGAAACTCCTGATCAATACAGGTTCACCTGTTGGCTGGCGGAGCAGACGACTCTGTACGTAGACCTGCCTGACAAATCTAGCCTTTACTGCTCTGAGCTTGCTGCTTCTGCTTCCCTGTCTGGATCTGGTCCTAACCTCCTTCAGCTTCAGCAAAGATGGGTTCAGCTTGAGCTCTGGACAGGGAGCAAAGAGGGGCACCACCTCACTCACACAGGAACAAGTCAGTTGTGTTGTTTAAAAAGAACAATGTATTTATACCATTTTGTGTGATTTTGAATCTGAGAGGAAACAATAATAAAACTTTGGTGCTCCAGTTGTGTCAGGGTAGTTCCAGGAGCACAGAAAAGCACGTCTGCATAGACTCAGATACTCCTCACCTTTCTTGCGACACACTTTGCAACGAGCGTTCTCAGCGGACATGTCCCACTTTATGCAAGCGTCCAACATTCCCAGCAGCACATGCATACGGGAAAAGGTCTGAGCCTCCCTGATGGCCGTCTTCCATTTCTCCACCGCCGTAGCGACCTGAAGTCGGATTTAGGACGTGATTTAGCAGATACTTTCCTGCATAATGAAAAGTGCATCTCAGCTCTCTTACCCTGGCTTCTACTGCGAGCCTCTTCTCCTCATCCACCTCTTCCGTCTTGCTGCCCTCTTCACCTCCTTGCTTCTTCTTCTTCTTCTGCTTGGGAGCCATGAACCCCTGCAGGAACTTTTTGATGACGCAGGCCTGAAGAGTGATGATGCACTCACCGAAGTCCTTCAAGCTCTCCATGTCATTCAGCTTCAAATGAGGGATAAAAATGGCAGCATGTGTCATATGATGATCTAAACAGCTCAGGTGTTTATTGCTCATAGGTTCTTTTAGCAGGACAAACCTTGTCTTCAATGTCCATGTTGTCATCCAAGTATCCCAGACCTCCCTTTTGGAGTCTGGAAGAGACTTCCTGGATGTCACTGCGTAGATATTTGAGCAGCTCTGTGTAACCATCACAGGCACGGAGGCTGGTTTTGGCCTTGCGGGTCAAATGGATGGAGTGTAGGATGTCCTGGTACCTGAAACGATTCAAGACTCGCTTTGGTATCTTGGGTTGGAACGAAGTTTTGAACTTTACAAAGCGGTGTTTTACAGAAGGTGTACGTTATAAAATCCATGCGGCTGGACCGTTTCCTGTGTGTTAAAGTAATTATCCGGGGTTTTAGGAGCCCATCTACCTGCTCTGGATATTAGCCTTGAGCTCGCTCTCTCTGACGCCTTGAGGATGAAGACTTTCCACCAGCTCTTCCAGCTCAGCTGGGCTGTCTACAACGAACCTGGAATCAAAGCAGAAGAGTTAGAGAGTGAAGTAAAAGGTGGTTAAAAGCAGGTAGAAATGAATTAAAGGTCACTAATGTCAAGTTCTTACCAAAGGTTCTGCCCTTGTTTGGGAACAGTAGTTTCAATACAAATGTCTGGTGCTGCCCCCTGCTGGGCTCCTTCACTTACAGCACCATCGACGCTCCCATCATCTTTTTCCACTCCTGCAGTAGAAACAGCGATTCATCATTTAAGAGCATTTTAGAACCAAAAACATCAGAAAACTGCGGATAAATAAAATGTCTGAAAGACCAAAGCTAGTATGAACTAAATCCAACGCTGTACCTTGTGAATCAGCTGAGGCAGATGCCTCGTTCTCCTCCTCCTCCTCCTCCTCCTCCTCCTCCTCAGGCTCAGCCTCAGCTGTTTTCTCCTCCTCCGGCAGAGGAGTGAAGTTGTAGTCGATGCTTTCGTGCACCCAGCCCTTCTCGATGTACAGGCCAGGAACCACGTCAGAGAAAAGCCAGTATCTGTTCAAAAGCATCACAGCCACGGTGAGAACCTAAAGCACCTGTTGTGTGAACTTTTCTGCCCAAATATTTTACCCGTTTCAAAACATCAAATATATTTCATGAGGACAGCGTGGATCGTTTGGTGGGGAACACCAACCTGTTGTGATTTCTGTCTGTACCAAGAGGAGTCCGACGCATCACCAGTCTGGCTTTGGTTATTCCATCCTGAAAGGCCCTCTCTGCAGCCGCTCTCTGTCTACGCATCCGCTCCTCCTCTGCCTCCTTCTCCATTCGCTCTGTGGAGGAAAATCCCAACAACGGTTATGTGAATATTTGTAATGAAACGACCTCCAGCTAGAACAACACCGGTAGGGTTCAGAGCCTGCTTCAGGCTTCACCTTTATTTTGTCTGTCCAGCTCCTCCTTCTCCTTCTTAGCCTGCTGAGTCATCAGCCGCCGGCTCTTCACTGAGCTGATCATGTCCTCAGGCTCCGGCTCCACCTTCACTTCTTTCTTGATGTCCTTTTTAGCACCCCCGTCTTTTTTCTTTTCACCTTTGACACCAGGAAACGAGACATAACACGTTATGAGAACAAAGCTGAAACACCATCGTCTGACTACTGAGCTGAAACTGAGCCCACTTACTTTTGCTCTCCATCTCCTTGCGCATCTTCTTCTCAGCTTTCTTGCGGTCGTTGGCCTCCTTCAGCACAGCCAGGCGCTCCTTCCAGAGCTCGGCGGAGCGCTGCTGCATTGACTCGACGTGGTCTTCCACGGAGTAAGTCATGAGGATGCGGTGGCACAGAGCCACCAACAACTCCACCTTCTCCTCTGGGCTCAGCTCAAACACCTCCACAGTTTCTAGCTTCTCCAGGAACTCGCTGCTCACCACGTCATCAAAGTCACCCACGCCTCCAGACTTCTCCGATCCCTGGCCGCTCTCTTCGTGAGCGTCGCACGGCCTCAGGCACAACCGCGCCAGCTCTGACGCCGAATGCATGGTGAGAGGAATCTCCCACAGGGACATGTCCAGCTCACCGTAGCCTTCGGCCAGCTCGTCCTGCAGCAGCGTCTGGAGCAGCACCACCAGCACACGGTTCAGGTAGAGGAAACCGCATCGGTCTCCTGCCAGTGCTTCCATCAGAGACGACGCTGTGATTGGATACTGATCATTGGGCATCAAAAGGCCCGCGTAGCAGTGGAGGAACTCAACAACCATCGCTACGCTGCCAAACAGGGTGTTGGGAATCCCTTCAGGCATGTCCACCAGCTTGAATGTGGGCAGTGTCTTCCCTCCTTCGATCTCTTGATCTTCATATCTACGCGATTGTTCTCGGCGGATGAGCAGCTCCTTCTCTCGCCTCTCCTTGGCCTTTTCTCGCAGTTTCTCTTTGAGTTCTGCGCGCCTCTTTTTCATCTCCACCTCCTTTTCTGCATCACTCATGGCTGCCCAGCGCCTCTTCTGTTCCAGGAGCTCCCAACGCTTCTTTACCAGCTCTCTCAGTTCTTCTGGCAGGCGATCCCGGTCCTCAGTGGATAACGCCTTTGCAGCTTTTGATATGAGGGAAGAAAGTGGGTTCTTCTTATCCTCCTTGTCCTTGTTCTCCTTGTAGTAACGGAGGAGATGCAGAGCCATAGGGGGCAGCGGTTTTCCAAGTTTGGGAGTGCCCAGGCTCCCACTGCGAGCTCTCTTTTTAGGACTCCCTGCAGGTGTGCCCTTAGCCAGATGTAGCAGAGTCATCTGCTTCATCTTCGGCGTCTTACCACCAGTTTTATCATCTTTCTGGGAGGCTTTGAGGACGTTGAGCTTCTTATCGCCACTTTTCCCACTTTTCTTTCCCTCTTTTTTGTCGCCCAGCTTCTTGGCAGATTTTGGAGTGGAGGGGGCTGATCCCTTTCCTTCTTTCTTTGGACTTCCAGAGTTCTTCACCTTGAGTGGAGAGCCGTTCATTTTGATTTTCTGAAATAATACAGGTAGGAAAAAGATGAGTTCTGGCAAAAGCGTGTGGACAGGGCCTTAATCTGGAAACCAGTGACTAACCTGCATATGACCCCATATGGTGGGACTGAGAGGTACACTCAGAGAATCCTTCTTTTTCCTCCTCTTCTCTCCCTTCCCATTCCCAGAGTCTTCTCCGGGAGTGTCGCCCGTCTTAACCTTCTTGCTGGATTTGCCTTCGGGGGATGTCACGCTCTTACGCTTAGTGGAGGGATTTTCTGCCAGAAACTTCAAACAAAAAAGCAAAAGTATAAAACGAGGCTGAGCCAAAAGCACGAACCCCGGATATCCAGACAGCTGCCAGAACATGTCGGGATTAGATTACCTTGTGCGGATCAAGAAGAAAGCTGCTGAACTTGCTGGGCAGACTAAACTTTTTCACCAGCTCGTCTTCAACCACCCAGGGAGCGCTTTCTCCATTACCCACCCTCAGAGCATAGTGCCTGATGAAGTACCGCACGATTTCCTTGGTTGGAGGACGCTCTGTCCTGTAGAGGCTGTCTGCAGGGACACTGCTGATCACCTGTTGCAGAAAGAAAAACAAAGAAAATGTTCAAATTCAGCATAAAAAAACTTGGCAGGGCTGCTACACGCCGTACATAACATTAAACAGATCCGGTTACAACACTGAGTTCTGCTGACAAACAAACCTTGTCCTCATTGATGAGCTTCACGTCGTACTTGTGAGGCAGGAATTTGGGCATCACCCATTTCTTCTTCTCTTCTTTCATAGCGGTGGTAGATTTCCTTGGAGAGCGCCGTGCTCTGTCACCTAGGAGCAAGAATGATATTCTATAATCAACGCAGCAAGGTCGCCGATATGGGAGGGTGGGCTGGTTCTTACTTAAACTCTCCCTCCTGCTCTCCTCCTCTCTGGGTGGAGGCTCCTTCCTTTGGTTCTCGTGGCTGGAGTTCTCCTTGTCGCTAGATGGGGAGTCACAAGCTCCTTCCAGCTTCTTCTCACCTGCTTCAGTCTCAGGACTTTCTAAAGGATGAACCTTCATCACTTTCACACGCAAACTTTGGTCTTTCCCCACCTGGGGTCGATCATTTGGGAGAGAAATAAAAGCCTTTTATTAGGTTTTCATTTCATTTTAGTTTATAAAACAAAATATATGTACATACATGTTTATTAATTTATAAAATATGTTATTGTATTTTGCTTTATTTTAATTTTATTCATTTTACATAAAACATGTAATATGTAAAAAAAAAAAATAGCGATGGGTCCAGCAACACCGATGCGTCGGCGCTGGTATCTAGCTCATAAAGTGAGACCTCGCATTTAATAGTCACATGGCCGACATGATTTTGCTTGTTTAAATGGAGGAGCGTCTCCATCTGCCAGCAGGATGTTCCTGCCACAAGAAGAAAATATATTTTCTACAGCGCCTCTCAAGATAAAAACCACGAGGCGCTTCACAGAAATAAAAAATGTAAAATATAAAAAAGAATTTAGAAAACTATTACAAATATATTTAAAATGAGCAAAATATTGACAATTGTGATTAAAGAATGTAAAGAAAGCGTGAGTAGGAAAGAGGGAAATCAGTGGATCCTGAGGAAGGTGGAATAGGTGGAGAGAGCAGAGTACATCTTTTGAAGCTTGCTGTTAAATCTTAGACCCAGATTGAAAACGGTGGGTCGTCCGTGAGGGATCATTTTGTTCTTATAATTGGCAAATAAGTTATTTGTTTTTATTTCCTGTTTTACCCTGTTTCTCTCGGTTTCTGCTTGACCCATCAGAATTCTGTTTCTAAATTATTCTTTTTAAATCATTCATTCAATTTTCTGCAGGTTAACTGTCACATTTGCTAAACTGAACTTTCATAATAACTTAAATATCTCAAATAATTAAACAAGCATTTAAATTTACAATTTCTCAGTAAAATGTATATTTGACTGCTTTTCAAACTCAATGAAAAGATAACAGGATAATCACGATCAACTTTATAAAGATGAAGACACATTTGTTGCTGTGCAGATTTGTCCTGTTTAACTATACATTAATACTTTAATTGCGTTAGGCAGTTGAGAAACATGGGTGGTTTTGCTTTAAAGATCCTGCCAAGGAATAAAAACAACAGGATGTAGAACACATCCGCTACATAAAAGGAAGGTTTGGAAAAGCCAGCAGGGATACAAACCAGGAAGTCACACTCTTCACCCACGGCATACTTGGTGAGGATTTCCAACCAGGCCATTTCAACCAGTTTGTCTAAGGACACTGTGTTGTGGTGCACCATCTCAAGGACAGGCTTTTCAAACCAAGGAGGGTACTCTTCCTGAAGCCTGCACACAGAACGTGATCAGTGTAGAGATGAACCGTTTCAGTAGCATGCTAACATGATGCTGAAGTCGCTGACATGTTCATTTTGCTCCTCTGAAGTGGGAATCAAATGGCTGAGAATGACCAATAGGGGGAGTAAAACCTCTTAGGTGTTATAATTAGACAGCTTAAATACAGCTTATGATCCTGAGAGGCTTGAGCTTTGGGTAGCTAAGTACCGGTCTCTTGTCAAAGCTGGGAGTCATAAAACCACCAAAGATTAAAAAAGGACTTGCATGTGTCTAACTGGAGCAAATATTTACCAACTCATGAGATACCAGTGACTGCCATTTACCTCCATACTATATAACCACCAAAACATGACCTCCTACAGACCAGAATGGAAGTTATGGTGTAACTATGGTTCTGTGAGTTCCTGGATGACTGCCAGTCACAGGGGTCACTCGGAACTTCTCGGGCGAGAAGATCCCGGGAGACCCGAACGTAGCTATCGGCGCGTAATTTATAGACTCGCGACCAGGTGCTCTACGTGTCACGTGCGTGACTTTGTTTACATTAGTACTCGACCTGCGCAGAGCGCGAGGAGATACATCCACTCTTTTTACTGCCACTGGCAGTCAGGAGGGAACGAAACAGAACTTTTACTGCAATCTGCACAAATGGACTCACAGTTCTGTGACTTCTTGTTCCTCTTCCCATGCTTCTTTGTGAGTGAGCTGGAGACTTCCGGTGCTCTTGCATGTCCAGATGCGTTCATCATACCTCTGCAAACGCGTCTCATACTCCCTGTAATCATTTTGTTAAGGTAATAACTGAGTTCAGATACACACAGAGTTTAGTTTAGCTATAAAAAAAAATCTTTATGCAAATATAGCGATGCTAATTGTTGCGCTGGAGGCCACGGAGCCTTAACGCATCACAAATGACTCCTGATTTGTCAGCATGCTAGACATGAAAGACTGCAATGGGATTCAACATATACAAACTAAGTTGATTATTTTCAAACATCCAAAATCTAATCTTGTTGCAAAGAACAGCTTAAGAACAAACAGTCTTGGGAATGACGCTGTTCAACCTTGTGCCTGAAAGAAAGAGGGTGAATAGTCTGTGGGCTGGATGGGTGTGGTCTGCCTCCATTTTCTTTGTTCTGGTTCTGAATCTGAAGATGTCCTCAAGAGGACGGAGTTGATGTTGGTCACTTCTCTTTGCTGAGCCTTCTGTGTGGACAATACATTTACTGATTGAATTTAGATCTTCGAATGTTTTGCCAAATCCCAACATAAAATCTCACATTTTAGTGTTTTGTTTTCTCTTTACAATTATTCATGTGTGAAAAAGAAATAACCATCTGGAGTTAAGGTATGATAATTGCTGCAGTAATGAGTGGCCATGAAGACGCAATGCCACATATGAAGGAAAATTTTACTCCATGATTTTACTCTTAAAGACTATAAATGTTAAGAGGGTGTGCACTAGGTAAAAACCCACAAAGTATTCATAGGAAAGACTGGTTTGGTTCAGTTTTCTAAAATTTGTCCATAATAGCTGTGAAGAGTCACATGGTGTTGTCAATGGGACAGTGAGAAAATCAGGTACCTGAAGCACAACAAACTCAATAAAACAGACAAACAGTTCAGTGAGAACACTTGTGTCCCCTTAGAAAGCCATTTCTTCCCGATGATCACAAAACGAGTTATTACACCCTTGATCCCCTTTACCCTTATATACACGAGTGTCACGCGGAGCTGACAACAGATGGGTTACGTCCTACTACTGCTGCTTTGTTTTTATTATAAACATCTATGTGGGTAAACATAAACCCCAGAGGTAACCTACGATTAAAAAAATGCATAAATAAAATAAATACTTGTGCCACAGAATAGATTAGTCATACTCTAAAGAGATGCTAAAAGAGCTATATGCTAACGACATCGGCTAACTCTAGACTGCGGAGCAACTGCTTTGGTCTGCGGAGGCAGGCGAGAAGCTATTGTGACATAATGGGAGAACAAGCACTAGCAGGCTGCTGGTTAGCAACGTTAGCACGAGTAGCTGTCAGTACACCCGTAAAGATGAAAGTGAAAGACACTTGCCCTCATTTAACAAATAAATATGTGTTTTGTTCAGCTGAACGCAGCACATTTCTTTCTGACTTAACCCAATAGCCAGCAAATGGGTTTAATTATCTAATTAGCAAAGCTGTGCGACTGTTAGCTGACATGCTTGTGATTAAACGTTAGCGGTGTTCATGCGATGAAACGGAGATAAATGACTGGTAATGTCATATTCCTCACTCACCCCGTCAGTCTCCTGGATTTTATTATGAGAACATCGATTAACCCAGTCAGATTAATAAAACAATATAACTGGAAAACGGTGGCTTATAAATACAGTTCAAGCATCAGCATCACGTTAAAGGATACTCTTTGTTCCTGAAGGCCTCCTTGGTGTGCTCGATGATGTAGACCTCCTCTCCCGGGCCTGGTGGCTCGGCTAACGGCTTAGCCAGTGGGAACGGTTTCCGGCCCAAAAGCGGTGCCATGGCGAATTCAAAGTCGGCACAAGTGCCAGAAGTAAAATGGACTTTAGAGCGTCAAACTAGTACAATATAAGACGGCGGTGTTTCCTTAGCATGTATCCAAGTGCTCGTAATATCTCTACCAACCGATAGCACGACCCACGTTACCGCCGGCAGGCCCGGTAGCAGATTGGATTGCTATGTCGTTGCAAAACAATAACAGTACGCTCCTCGCCACCAATTTCATCGCATCATTCTCTGCATCTCTGGCAGCGATGGCGTGCTAATTTGACGTAGCGTCTTGAGATGAAAATCACGTTAACAGAATTGTCCACCGAGACGGTTGCTAAACTTTCAGTTCCTTCAGGTAAACACAAAAAATGCGAACATCAAACTCGCGGCAAACTGCTACAGACTAGTCCGACTGTAGCCCTCTATCGCTATATAGTCCTTAAAAAGTATCTGCAAAACACTTGTTCACGTTTAAACAATCACCGCTGATTCTGTCCTAAGTTTTCCATTCCCAGCTAACGGCAAGTGTTGCAAGAAAGTATTTTCAATCAAACAAGAGGTTAATTCCTAGACGAAATGGCGGGAGTTTTTAGTCCACCGGTAAAAGACAGTACAACCCTCCGCAGCCCGTTTCCCCGGCAGCAAGCGGCTGCGCAATCACGCCCCGCCTCCTCTCATCGTTGATTGGCTAATTCAGCGTTGCGCCTTGATAGAATCTCTGTAAAAGCTTCTGATTGGTTAATGCGGCCTGTCTGTTATTAAATTTAGGAAGACGCAACAAAAAAATAACACGCTTATCAGACATCAATTACTGGCAATTATAGGAAGACTACAAAAATTGCTGAGTGATTTTCAAATGAAAAGATTAATAACAATCCAAATAGTTAATTGCGAATATTTTAGAATTACAATATGAATTTAATCAATGTGTAATTATGAATTTAATTTCCAACCATTGTCTGGGCCAATTTTGAACGTCTTTAGACAATGGCTTACCCAGATCCATTATGAATGATTACAGGCTAGAGCCAATAGAAAGAAATATGCAATTGCAATTGGAAACCCTAACTTATAAAAGAAAACACCAACTTATGTGTATTCAAAAAAAAAAAAGACTTGTTTTATTCTGGAAAAATTCCCCCATCAAGCTCAAATATAATGGCACATCTAACCACCAATCTGCTAAATGAGATACACGAAATACTTCATAAAAAATATGATGGAAACATGCCAAAAAAACTGCAACACATGAAGACAAAAATCAAACTTGTGGCAGAATCTTGAAACATGTACAGAGTGTGTGTGGAAATGCACAATAGTCTGAAATAACCTCTTCACTTTGTTTAAAAATATTTCAACCAAACAAGACTTCAAAGACTCTCAAAGTGAGAAATAAAGCAACATTCTTGGGATACTTTCCCCATTAGCTCAAATGTATGGAGTACTATTTGTGTAGATATGAATAAACAATCACTATGACAGCCTTGTTATTCTTCCAACCACCCAGATCCCCTACCGTGCATTTTGACAAAAATAGTTATAAATAAGCTATCTTAGGGAGGTGGTTTCCCCTGTGCAGATCCGCTTTAAAGAAGGTGCTCCTGATTCATCCAACTCTTCCTGTGGAACAAATAAAGATCAGGTCATTTCTGTCCTTATATATTTTTATTAAATTCAGAACATGCAACAGACACACAACATGTAACGTATCTAATCAATCATTTAGTTTAATCTTGTTTAAATAGTTTACATAGTCAAAGTTAACCTGTGTGTCTGAGGCACCCCGTCTGACAGCTCCTGATGTGAGAGGGTCCTCCTTGATGAGAGTTGGGGGCTCGTCTGCAGCTTCCCGTCCTGAATGAGCTGGCTCTGAGTGATGTGTAGATGTATATGTCAATAAATGACAAATACAAATGTGCTCCTTCAAAAAAAATCTTCTAACTGCAGATGCTTAGCTGAACTCAGAATCATTGCCGTACCGTCCACGCTCTCCTGGCCGAGCATCGGGGGCTGAGAGTCTTCAGCTCGGAGGCTGTAGGGGTGGGGGGGGCTGACCTGCTGGGAGCTGGAGTTGCTGCTGCTGCTGTTATCCATTTTTGGCTGATAAACATCTGACAGGAAGCTCTGGTTGCTGTTTTCATCTAAGATGAGAAAAAAATGTAGCTCACAAGTGACCATCCATTACAGCCAGGTGTTACTAATTTCTTATTTATTAGTTTCTTCTTTATAAATAACCTACCAGTAAAATCCAGTAAAGTATTATTGTTCTCTAGGACCACATCTTTTAAACCCCTGCCCTCGCCACCAGTCGATTTGGTGCGAAATATCTGATGGAACAGTGAGAGAGGGTTTCACGAGGAGGATACAAACATAAACAAGATGTACTGGTTTCAGCAAGCATGACGAGGGCCCACACCTGCTTCGTCTCCGTTACTGGCACCCACTTGAATATGCGTAAAGATGTGTCTCCTACCGTCACCCATTTCTTCTCCCTGGAAATAAAATAGATCATTGTTATACAGGAGTTTAGTAGACGTGCAGCAAGTTTAGACACCAACTGAGCCATGAACTCCCTAAATGAAGAAAAACATTCGTTCAGATTTCACCTCACCTAGAATGTGTTTTTCTTTCTTGATATGAAAGAAATTAGCATTATGATTTCAGGTAACTCCTAAACTGGACAATAACTACTATTTGCCATTACTTGACCAGTGCCTGGATATTTACTTTTTATCCATCCTTTCAGTTTCCTAATTTAATTAGAGAACAGGTGATCTTTCTAACTTTTATATTAAGTGACAGTTTAGCTAACCATTATCAAGCTTAAAAGTGGTTTAAACTTGAAAACATATTTGAATACTAATATTAGGAGGATTTTTTTGGAGTGGTTAGTTGTTGATTATTGATTTTTTTCTTATGTTGTAAAGACAAGGATGGCACCAACCATGTTCAACATAAATCATATGCTAAGTAGCAATTATCTCCATTTAATTCTGATCCAAATCCCACTTTATTTGCGCTATGGAGCCATCAAAGACTCAGACAATGTTTTAAACAATTTCTAATTAATTTGTACATCTTGTATTGTGGAACATCCTGGCTATTTCAAGATAAGTATATGTGTGAATTATTATCACATAAAATTTATAAAAATGTAATGGTAAATTTCCCATTGAAACTATGTTGATGTTCAAGTGAACAGCTGACAGACCTCCCTCCTCATCATGCTGTGTGTAATTTTGGATGTGCATGCACATGTTTAGATGACACCTGAAAGCATTATAGTATAACACGTGCCTTGTAAACTGTTAAAATGAATGCGTTTCATTGTAATCCATAATGATGGACATGTTGAAACTAGAATTTTGATTTAGCTGAAGCACATATGGGAGTCGGGACTGGAGGATGGTCGGCACCCTCTGCCTGTTTAATCCGCACCCTGATGTGTCTGTAGCCAGTGTAGCCCACAGCTAGTAATGGTTCTCCCAGCCCGCAGCAGTAATGGCAGTGGGTCAAATATTTTTAAAAAGCTCGTCGGTCATTTTTCACATTACGAAACGTCCACATCACAGTACGACGCATGTCAGTTAACTGGAGCCATATTGACAGCTCCAAACGAGGGGGTAGGGGAAAAAAAATCTTAGCCCCGCCTCTTCGTTCCAACAGAGGCTGTGATTGGTCAGCAGCGTTGCCAATCACCTAACTTTTCCGACTGAAGTTTGTTGAGCGACGCAGCAAAATGGCAAGCAACGGTCCACTAAAACAATCCCCTCTAAATTTTCTCCCACATAAAGCTTACGTACCATTTACGGACTTTCTCGATGGCTGCCAGGACCTTTTTAATGTCGTCTTTAGCCCGACTTCGGGTCTCTGCGCGGCCTGAACGTCCCGACATCTTGATGCTGTTATGGTTCATCTACAGATCTGAAAACTTCAAGCCCCAGTCCTCTTCAACAATGGAAGTCTCGCGAGAATTTGTTGTCTGAGCTCATCCCCTTCACTGTGGACACGTGTGGTGTCGATTTATAAGTGATTCATTAATTTAACACATGTACTTATTTTTTAACTGATACTTTTAAATATTTAATTTTTGTTTATACGTGTCTAGCAGAAAAATTTGAACTAAATTGCCAACAATGTTAAATAATTTTTTGTTCTTTTCTTACAATTTTAGTAAAAAAATGCTTTTTTAGATAAAAGAAGAAGAAGAAAGTGTTAATTCTATATATGAATATAAGCTGTGGAAGCAAGAACAAGTAAGTCTTATCATACATATATGAATTTTAGTTATTACTTGAATTATTATTATTATTATTATTATTGCTACTTTATTTTCTGCCCGGCTTTTATTCAGCACAGTTTAAAACAGCTCAAATTAAATGTTTGCATGATGTACAGGTGCTGGCCAGTAAATTAGAATATCATCAAAAGGTTGAAAATATTTCAGTAATTCCATTCAAAACGTGAAACTTGTACATTATATTCATGCAATGCACACAGACCAATGTATTTCCGATGTTTATTACGTTTAATTTTGATATTTATAGGTGACAACCAATGAAAACATCAAATCTGGTATCTCAGAAAATTAGAATATTCTAAAGGCCAATGAAAAAATGTTTGTTTCTCTAATGTTGGCCAACTGAAAAGAATGAACATGAAAAGAATGTGCATGTATAGCACTCAATACTTAGTCGGGGCTCCTTTTGCCTCAATAACTGCAGTAATGCGGCGTGGCATGGACTCGATCAGTCTGTGGCACTGCTCAGGTGTTATGAGAGCCCAGGTTGCTCTGTCGTCTTCAGCTCCTCTGCATTGTTGGGTCTAGCGTATTGCATCCTCCGCTTCACAATACCCCATAGATTTTCTATGGGGTTAAGGTCAGGCGAGTTTGCTGGCCAATCAAGGACAGGGATACCATGGTCCTTGAACTGTGTGCAGGTGCCAAGTCCTGTTGAAAGGTGAAGTCTGCATCCCCATAAAGTTGGTCAGCAGCAGGAAGCATGAAGTGCTCTAAAACTTCCTGGTAGACGGCTGCATTGACCCTGGACCTCAGGAAACAGAGTGGGCCAACACCGGCAGATGACATGGCACCCCACACCATCACTGACGGTGGAAACTTTACACTGGACCTCATGCAACGTGGATTCTGTGCTTCTCCGCTCTTCCTCCAGACTCTGGGTCCTTGATTTCCAAAGGAAATGCAGAACTTGCTTTCATCAGAAAACATAACTTTGGACCACTCAGCATCAGTCCAGTCCTTTTTGTCCTGGGCCCAGGCGAGACGCTTCTTGCGCTGTTTCTTGTTCAAGAGTGGCTTGACACACGGAATGCGACACCTGAATCCCATGTCTTTCATGAGTCTCCTCGTGGTGGTTCTTGAAGCGCTGACTCCAGCTGCAGTCCACTCTTTGTGGATCTCCCCCACATTTTTGAATGGGTTTGTCGTCACAATTCTCTGCAGGGTGCGGTTATCCCTAGAGCTTGTACACTTTTTTCTACCACATTTTTTCCGTCCCTTCGCCTGTCTGTTAATGTGCTTGGACACAGAGCTCTGCGAACAGCCAGCTTCTTTAGCAATCACCTTTTGTGTCTTGCCCTCCTTGTGCAAGGTGTCAATGATTGTCTTTTGGACAGCTGTTAAGTCAGAAGTCTTCCCCATGATTGTGGTGCCTTCAAAACAAGACTGAGGGACCTTTTAAAGGCCTTTGCAGGTGTTTTGAGTAAATCAGCTGATTAGAGTGGCAGCAGGTGTCTTCTATATTCAGCCTTTTCAGAATATTCTAATTTTTTGAGATACCAAATTTGGAGTTTTCATTAGTTGTCACTTATGAATATCTAATTTAAATGTAATGAACATTGGAAATACATTGGTCTGTGTGCATTGCATGAATATAATGTACAAGTTTCACGTTTTGAATGGAATTACTGAAATATTTTCAACCTTTTGATGATATTCTAATTTACTGGCCAGCACCTGTATTTATCACGCCAAACGTTTCGACATTCTGTTCGCTCTTTGGCCTCTAGATGACAGCATTGAGTCAATCAAATCAAACAAGCTGCCTCTCTGTCGCTGAGAGCAAAATTATAAGAAATGCTTTAACTACTTGATGTTTTCAATACCACGACTTGTAGAATTTCATTATTGCATCGTAAACTAAGGGATCCGTTTTTTTTCTTTTCATTTTTTTCTGGATGAATCTGTGTCCTTAGAGGTAATATCTGACATGAGCTATCTTAGAAAAAATGTTTATTCCACTCTGTTTTATTTTCAGATATTTTTGATCAAAAACAACAACTTTATACACTCAGACTTATATGCTATGTAAATATATTTTGTTTGTTTTTTTCACAAATGTTTGCATTTTTCCAGGCAAATAACATGATTTAAATATAATTCTAAATTAGATGTTACCTTATTTATTAATCAGAATCAGAAGGGTTTTATTGCTATATGTACGAGACCCACAGCATTAGGAAATTGCTGCGGTACTAAATCCAAAGGTGTGGTTTTATATTCTTATTTGTATGATATATATATACTTTTTTTGTTGCATAAATGAATATTTTCATCTTAATGAAAAGATGTTCCAGGTTATAGAAATAAACTTTTAAACAATTTAAAAGCAAAAATATCAGTAATATATCCATCAACCAAATAGTAGTTTCTAAAATTTGCTGCATTTCTGTAAATAAAAGTTAATGTGACAACAAGCTATTATTATTATTATTATTATTATTATTATTGTTGTTGTTGTTGTTATTATTATTATTATTATTATTATTATTATTTTGTAAATTAGCATTTCCAGGTTCCTGGTGGTGTGGGCGGACTCTGCTGGAGCTTCAGCCAGTGACTGGAAACCCTGGGAGGAGTCGCGACCGTTGCCAGATCCTCTTGGAGAATAGCGCCGCTCATCCACATGAAGAAGAGAAAGGTAAAGGCACAATTAGTAATAGTCTGTTACTTCCTGTTACTTTGTATGTAAAAGCTGTTTTTGGTGAAAAATCTTCAGTCACCACCTCTTCACTTCCAGAGTCTTGAAATCTTTCAACTTCTTGAGCATTATTTATTCTGGCCTTCTCAATGTTTTTTAAAATCTTTTTTGTACTCTTGCTGTCTTTTCAATTATTTTCTGTTTAGCTCTTGACCATATTAGACACACATAAAATATGACTGTTTTCTAACACACTTAACTTTCATATTTCAAATAAGCCTAACTGCAGAGGAAAACTTCAAAAGGCACCCAAAAGCCTAAAATAATAATTAAGATCACTTTAAAATTATAATAAATTCTGACTGATTAAAATAAAAAAAATTAAATTACTCAGTCGTTAAATAAATTCCACCGTCTTGAACTTTATTTTGAAAAGCCAAAGTGGAAGTAGCAGTTGGCCTAACCTCGCGTGACTGCACGTTGATTATCGTTCATGGTGCTCCTGTCATTGACGGGGACTGCTGGGCTATTAATGTCGATGTGCTGGGCAGAAAAAGGCCGAATGCTCCAGTGAACAGGACCACAGCAGCATGGACGGCTGCCCGCCATAGCCGAGGCTGTTTTCTTTTCTTTCTTTTTACAAATTTTTACACCCGAACCAGGTTATCGACTGGGACATATTTTTTATTTCCATTTTTTTTTCTCGCAGTTCGTTTTTCTATGCTAGTAGAACCCACAATGGATCGCGTGAAAAGCTCCATGCAGCAAGTACCCAACGCTATTCCTAAAGTGATCCGCCGGACTGGAGGGGCCAACAGCCTGGAGCTGGAGAGGGAAAACTTCGAAAGAGGGCAGGTAGGGATCAAACCAACACAGAAACATTATTCTACAGGACGTGTCGGACGGATGTCCTGCGTGGGAACCGCTTTAATGTGGTTGGGAGGGTTGTATAAATCATGGCTGTTTGTTTTCAGCTCATAAACAAAACTTGACTATAATTATTGTGTCACAAGTGAAATAAACGATACGACTCTCATTGTTTGTCTACATTTGATCTGTTTAACCACATTTTTTACATTCTCTAACATGAAGTGTATTGGATTCAGCCGGTTTGTTTTCATCATCAAGTTTGTTTGTGTAGCTGAAACAGATGAAGCCACGGTACAATGGAGCTGCTGAAATGTGCGTCAGTGGCCTTTTGAACACAAATAACGGTGCTTATTTAGCCTGTCTGGTCAACAGAAGGCTTCACGAGACTGGATCATGTCTGATGTGAAGGCCAACAGTCAAAGCTGGAGCTGTCACGATGACGACGATGCTCTTAGATCCGTGACCAGCTGATGATGTTTGTTTTGGTCACTCGTAAGTTAATAATCCTCATTCATGTGTTGCTGTTATGCTTCCTGGTGGTCTACATCCCCCCCTTGCCTCTCCTCCTGTCTCTCTAGACCAGGAACAGAGGGCGGTAGAGAAAGTAGGTCAGATGAATCAAGGCAAACACAATATGTTTCTATCAGTATCTGCTTGATAAGGAAATCCAGCCACAGCAGCTTGAATGTGCACAGCAAGTTTCTGGTTCTATAATCGATATGCACTAGAAGCCTGTCCATGTCTTCCTGGTTCCCTCATACACCAGATGACCGTTTGCAGCATGGATTAGAAGCGGAGGGACCAGGCGTAGCTTTACGCCACTAGGTCACTAGGCTGCTGAGATCACACCCCCTTTGTCATTCATGATGAGTTTTTTGACACCCCCCTATTTTGATAATTTTGTTACTGAAACATTCAGACAAGACAGCACATGCCTGATTGGCATGAAACACATATGGTAACTAATCCCTCTAGAGCCTTTTAAGACTAATTTTTAAAGTTTAAATGTCTGCTGTACAGGTTCCTGGTGCATTCTTTCCTCTCTCGTGGGTAGTGTTTGACTGTGCTTGGAGGTGGAGGAATCAATGAATCTGCTGTCTACCTTACACTGGATCAGTGAGAGATAATCTCATCTGATCTGTTGTGCTCCAAAGCTGCCTAAATCTGCTGGGTGGCTGGCTTTCGCCTCTTTAGTGGAAAACCTGTCTGACTCTGTAGATCCCACATCATCAGCTACTGGTTTTCATCATAACTAATAGAATATCTACAGGTTAGTTTTAAATATAAAAAGTGTAGGCTTGAAAAGTCCTGTGGTCCAAGCTGGCCTTTAAACTGCTCTCTCACTCTGGGAAATGTTCCTATCTCTCTCTGCTGAGTTGGATAAACAACCACGACATGTTCAAAATCCTCTTTGTCATAAACTCTGCACCCGGTTATAAAAAGACCTCTCCCAGTGTTGGCCGAGAAGGCCGAGATCATGCAGAGAACTTCATTTTTTAATGACATGTTTAGCCTCATAAAGGCATCTGACTCTTTAATTTGAGGTGAATTTTATCTTCCGCTCGTTTGACTCGTCTCAGTGGTTGTTGCGTGTTCTCGATGAGTGCAGGAACGGGCAAAAAGCAAGCCATTGGTGAAGGCCACACATTAAATTTTATTACATTTTATCTTTTGACTCCAGAACGTGAGAGGATGCCAGCTCCTACACTGACTTGGAGCTGTCACAGGCTTTTCGTTGGAAAACTGAGGGAGGCGGTAATTTTTGGACTTATATGGACCATAATTAGTACTTGTGGGAAAAACTTCAGGGGCACCATTTGGGATGTTGGAGTAAGAGCCACTGAGTTACACCATATTGTATGTTACATAATTAAAGCCTTCAAATTAGACTGCCTTCCTCCCAGTTAGTGGTCCATATTGAGGGCAGACTGCCTGCATTTGAGTGGACTTTTTTTTGTTGTGAACACAGCAACATCTCCCAGTGTTGTTATTAGTAAACACAAATTTCAGGTTGTAATAAAAACATTTGATGCTGCAGAAACGGGGCAATCCCCACCCCCCTTTTCCTCTTCCTCATTGTCTCAAATCCTCCTTACCTCCTTTTTTTTAACATCCTGCAATTCAAACAGGTTATGGAGGAATTTCCGCATACATGAGCAAGGTGCACACTCGGGCAAATGCGAGTATGAAAGTGAGACCTTTTAAAAGCACTGAGGCAGCAGAAACAGCAGGCAGAGGTTTGTGGCCTCGCTGCACCGACTGTACCTGCAATAGTAGTGGTGGACATGAGTGATGGGTCCGTAGGTGTAACACAAAGTGGTTTCCTGCCGCATTAACAATGGATCTGATAAATAAATTGTTTCGAACTTCCCTTCTGCATTTGTATATGGTGGAAAAAGCAGAAAAATGGAGATCTTTGTTTCACAGAAGTTTCATCATCCTCTAGGGTGTATGCAGAATGTCCGCTACAAATTAGAGCCTTGTTTCAAAAGTCTTGTTCACAGAGAAACGGTGTATTACTTTTTGAAATACATTCTGTTACACATAGTTGTACTTGTATACTGAGCATTAAACTAGTCAACCCCTCAATTCTGCTTTAGCCACCAAATGCTTCAGTCAAAAAATGCCAGTCTCTTCTATGTCACAGGGAAAATTTGCATTCATGGCCCCGCCCACCTCTGACATGCGTCCGCGGATGTCCGCTGTGTTGATTCTGTGGCCTGGAGCTAACAATTGGCATTAGCAACTTCACAACATCACAGTGCACAGGCTTGTGTTATTTGTTATTCTTTACTCAAGAAACAATGACCAAATGCAGTAGAAGAGTTGCGTTGCTGTTAGCCAATCAGAGGTGATGCATTTGCATGTCATAAATATTAAAGGGACACTATGAAACGTTTTAAAATTATTAAAACATTTTCTCGAGCCAGTAGGTGCTAAAATGACCCTTTACAAGGTGAATGAATAGTCTCTCAGCCCCGTTCGCCCCTTGTGGGAGATTAATGTGTTTGCAACTTGAGCCTCTACAGACCATTGACCTGAAGTTTTGCAAAAGTCTTGTATCTCGCAAGAAGCCGTAACATTTTATAGCAATCTATGTTTACACCTCAGAAAAGACAGGCTAGGGATGGTTGGCGATTATTGTTTTGTGTTCATCGGGGCGGAGCCTCAAAAGAAATAATGAAACGTATAAAATCTTTGTTTGATTAAACTAACAGGAGAAAAAGAACATCTGAGCAAAATAAGGGTTAAAAAAGAGTCAACATCAGGAGTTTTCTGAGTCGCTAGAGCTCAAGGACTAAAAAAGAAGGATTCAAATTGGATTCAAACCTCATGATCATGCTTCTGTTTGTTTGTATTGTTCTTATTTATTTATTTTTTTAACTTTCCCTGTGTTTGTAACTCTTTCTAAATGTGTTTGTCAGGCGGTAGTGTTCACGTCCCTCTCCACCCACAGAAGTGTTCTCCTCTCACCTGTCAAACACTCAGTCATTGATGCTTTCTCTCATCTCTACCCGATCTCCTCGTGTCCTCACACCCCATCGATTCCTCGTTCATGAGTCTTGACATTATCATCACAACCTGGGACAGCGGTCTAACCGTCTTTGTTACCAGTCCAGCTGAAGCTATTCGCGCTGCCAGACGGACTGTTGGTAAGTTGCTCTCCATGTTTGGCTTTACCGACACCCTATGGTCACACAAGCCCTCCTTTCAGGACCTTTCCTCAGTGTTGATCAGATGAACTCTGTTCAGCCTAGTTCGTACCTCTCCGTCAGCAACTTTGCGCTGACACACACACTTATTGAAGGAGACGTTTTCCATTTAAAACTATAAACTGAAATATTAAGTCAACATAAAAATGTAAACAGTCGAGAGGTATTAGGATTAGCTAGCTTAATGTAAAGGTGCCATAGTGCACTAATTGTCCAGCAGGATCACTGTTGGTGTGACCTCCTAGCAGCAACATTCAGTTCAGTGATGGCTCTTCCATAAAAGCTGTTTAACAGCCTGGTGGTGTGTGTTTTTAATGCTCTGTATCTTACCAGATGGAAGAAGTTTGAAGGGATGATTAGCAGGGTGGGTTGAGTCCTTTAGGATGTTTGTGGATTTCCAAAGGCAGCGAGTGGTGAAGATGTCATCCAGGGTAGGCAGGTGTTTGTTTGTTTGTTATTTTCGCTGCAGTTTTGATTACTCTCTGCAGGGCGTTCCTCTCAGCTGCAGAGCTGCTGCTGTACCACACCAGGATGCTGTTGGTCAGGACACTCTCTATGGAGCAGTGATAAAACCACACCAGCAGTTTTTGTGGCAGGTTGATCTTCCTGAGAGCTTTCTGTGTGTCTTCTTTATCAGACATTTGGTGCTATGTGTCCATGTGAGTGAGTGAGTGTTCAGGAATGTGAACTGTGACACCCTCTCCACATGCTCTCTCTTTATTGTGAATGTCTGGTGCTCTACATTTTTCCTTCTTGGGTCAATGATGATTTCTTTTGGTTTTGTTGGTGTTCAGGGTCAAGTTGTTAGCTGCACACCAGTCCACCAGCTGCTGAACTTCTCTGTGTGCTGACTCATTTCCCTGGCTGATTAAGCCCATCACTGTTGTATCATCAGCAAACCTAATGCTGGTGTGGGTTGTGAATGGGCTTACAGTCGTGTGTACAGAAAGGCACTCAGTACACAGCCTTGTGGGGCTCCTGTGCTCAGGGACAGAGAGGAGGAATGGTGGTGGCCTAACTTAACAGACTGTGGTCGGTTTGTTAAAAAGTCTTGTATCCAGAGACAGATGTTGTGCTCGAGGCCAAGGTCAGACATCTTGTGGAATAGTCTGCTGGGGAGAATGTTGAATGCAGAGCTGTAGTCGACAAATAGCAGCCTTGCATATGTACTTGGTTGTTCCAGGTGTGTCAGAACGATGTGGAGGGTGGTAGAGATGATATCATCTGTTGATCTGTTGGTTCTGTAGGCATATTGGTGGGGTCCAGTGTGGGGGACAGCACCCTTGATGTGTTACAGCACTAGTCTCTCCATGCACTTCATAATGAGAGGTGTTAATGCTACAGGCCTGTAGTCGTTGTGGCTTGTTATTGCAGGTCTTTTGGGTATAGGTACTACTGTGGAGTTTCTAGACGGGTGGGGACAGAGCACTGAGACAGCAACAGGTTCATAATGTCAGTGAGGACCTCCGCCAGCTCCACTGAACAGCAGTGGCGGGCGGTGCATTCCACCCCTGGGCCTTCAGTGATTTCCGATTCCGTCCAATCTAAATTTACACACCTTAAAATACCATCAATAGGACATCACAGCTGGAGAAACCTCTCTCTCTCTCTCTCACACACACACACACACACACACACACACACACACACACACACACACACACACACACACACACACACACACACACACACACACACACACCAGTGGCTGGGCAAGGCGTCATTTCCGGAGCCTTTAAAATCAAACTCGCATTTCTACTCACCAACATAAATGTCCAGCATGGATCTCCTCCTCTCCTGCTCATTTGAAAATAAAATCCATCCTTCTTTCTTTCCTCAGGAAAACCTCAGTGGCTCTGTACAGTTTCTGTGCACTTCAGGTCCATGAGTGGATCCTTTTCTATGGACATGGAGGCTAATGCTGAAAGACGTGTCTGTCCGGTCGTGTTTCTGGCGTACGTTTTAATGCACTTTAATGCTACCAAATCCATCTGATGCGAGCAACAGGCATTCCCAGCAGAATAACCTGCAGCGGTTCTCTGAAGCTGTTTGCCATGGGTACCGTTCATAGTTGCTTGCCTGAAAATGACGAACAAATCCTTTCCCCTGCTGGGACAAGCCAGCTAGCGTTGGAGTCGGACGACCTGTTCTCACAAGATCCATTTTTTCTTGAAAGGTCCGTCTTGAAAATGGTGTGGCAAGTAAATCTGCCACCAAATCCGTCCCTTCTCCTCTTTCAGCCATCATGTGTTCAAAAATACACCGATAGCTGCCTATAGATGCAAATCTCTGTGTTTAGTTTTGATATTTTGCTTCATGCCGCTAGAAAAGTTCTAACTACTGCTTATCCAATCACAGGATGCGTTCATGTCAACTTTTGCGTGAGGCCAGCTAGCTGGCCCGGGCCAAGCTGACTCGTGAGCTGATTGGCTATCGCAACTAGATCGTCTCTGTTCACTTACAGCGGACAGTGGGCTTCTCGATTGATTCTGAAGGCCTAGAGCAGACTTAATCTGCCTGAAAACACAAGCTAGCTTAAATCTGATTGGATAACACCCAGCCTTGGTATTTCAACACTGGAAGCAGCACAGCCAAGTGGTTATAATAGGATATAAAGAAAATAGACCAGTGAACTTTTTTTTATTTAAAAATATTTACCAAAAGAAAAAAAATACATTTACGTTTTTGAGTACGTTTAGGCCAGCAGAGAAGGCTTTGCTGGCCCTGACTGCCCACCACTGCTGAACAGTCATGTAGCGCCCTTCCCGGAATGCCATCTGGACTAGCTGCTTTCCTTGTGTTGACTCTTCTGAGTGTACGCTGTACCTCAGCGGTCCGCAGGATGAGCACTTGGCTGTTGCTCGTTGGTGCTGGAGCTGGAGTCATGGTTCCAGCAGATTTTTGCCAAAGCTAGCTCGGTTCTGAGCTGCTCACTGGATACAGTTGAAGAGATGGAAAGGAGGACGCTGGGGAAGATGACATCCATCTTAAAATTGCTCCCACCCACTGCATTTCACTGTGGAGACCATGGACAGCTCCTTCAGAAACGGATTGACATCCCAGATGTAAAACAGAATGCTACCGTAGATCTTTCATCCCCTCTGCAGTAAGAGTGTCTAACTACTCTGTTTAAGCGGTACTGGCATTATCCTGGTACACAATAACATCAATGCAATATTCAGTATGTGTTCAATACTCGTGCAATAAAGGATTTCCATTGTGTGTCTCTTTCTCTTACAGTGTGGTGCATATTGGAACTAGGGATGCACCGATATGAAAATTTTGGGCCAATACCGGTATCAAATATTAAATGGCTGTTCTGGCCATATGTGTGTGAGTGTTTATATATATCTGTGTATTTATATATATCTAGCTCTCCACGATGGATCTATCATGGAGAACTAGAGATGCATGTCTCAAACGTCCCACAGGCACTTTCATTTAATTATATATTGATAATTAAAGTAAAGTAATTTAAATTTCATCTACAGGTGGCTCATATCCTATAATCCACAATACCAGTAAATATTTCTTGTCCAGAGACAAAAATTTATCATGTTGAGCTAAAATCATGATGCATCCTAAGCCACAAAGCCAAACGTAAAGTTTAGAGAACATTGACCCAGAGGTTTCCAGATTGAGCAGATGCGTGCGAATACATTTAATGACCACTTCAAGACAGAGCAAGCTAGTGGCTAATGCTAGCCGCTATAGTCAAGTATGGTGTGCTTCTTCATAATTGTTTAAGTCCGCATCCTAATCCATCTGTTATTAGATTATTTTCTACCGAGCACCCCAGCTAAAATAACCAACACACTGCCTTAAACTTGCTCTGATTGGTTCATCGGTGTGTCTGTTGTGCTGACAGAAGCAGACTAGCAAACGGCGTGACTCGGCTGAGAAGAAATGTGTGCCTGTAGTCTCGTGCAGAAATAATGGCACATGTGATAGAACGCAAATAGACAGTTCCTTGATCTCCGAACTTTGGTAGATCGTCATCACTTAATAATCCTTAACAATCTTATTGTCAGATCGCACCCTAACCCTACATGGACTCACCGATCTTGCACCACGACGGGGAAGGCTGTTGTTGTATTAACGTCCAGGAGGCAGGTGACAGTGTCTCGAACAGTGGAATGTAACCGCTAGCATTAGCATCTCCAAAACATGGCAAACCTCTTCCAGGCTTGAGTTATTTGTGGAAGTAAAACATCCATGTTGCAGGTCAGTGGAAGAGTCGTGTTGCTGTTATCCAGACCAATCTGAGGATTGGTGTCCAAATATCAGGAAATAAGACTCCAAGACCTGCTGTCTGAAGCGCAGCTATGATGTGGGTAACTTCAGTTCCTGGTAATGGTGCACCATTATATTGTTCCCCCCGATAATGACTAAGATATTTATTCTTACTAGAGACAATTGTATTGATTAAATAAGTCACCCACACCTTTAATGACCAAGACTCCAGATGCCGCTGTTTTCTGCCCCTCACTCTAATAACTTCTACTTCCTGAAACAGGAGCACCAGAGTAATAAAGTAGTAACCAATCAGGTTTGCGTCAAGAGTGAAAGTGAAAGCTTACTTATAGAGAAATGTCTTTTGGAATTAGTAGTTTTTCAGATATCAGAATCTGCTCTTATTGAGTGAAAACAACATAAGAAGACAAGTTTTTATACTAGAATTGTTGTAGGTTGTAGAGTAGGTTTCTGATCATTCATTCTTTTTTACTGATAAAGCACAATAAAGAGCCGGCGCCATGAGTGACCAGAGCTTCTGATAAGCTGGACTGATTAAACTGTTCTCTTGACATCTCACAGCAGTGCAAGTCTGTTTTTAAAGAACGGCTTCAGCCCTTGGGATTTCTTTATAATAAACGTAAACAGTCACATTGAGGTTAGGAGGCTTGAACCCAAAATGCAAGAACCCAGAACTACGCAGGCAGGAGCGGCTGCAAAAATAAGAATCCTTTATTTGTGGAGGAGCGACTAAAAAAAAACTCAAAAGCACAGGCGGCAACTAGAACAACGCTGACAAAGACAATGGTCCAACAAGAGACGAGACAGGGTTATATGCACAGGGGCTGGGTGATTAAGGGAATTGGGTGCAGGTGAGACAGGGCAGAAACAGGCAGGGGGAAAAAACCAGATCTAAATCCTGTAAAACAAAGCTACTAAACTAAAATAAACCTAAACACTGTAGAACAAAGACACAGGAGATCTAAAGATAAGTAAACTAATGACCTACACGAGGAAGGAAATACAACACACTAAAGGAGACACTAACTAGATAATCTGAACATATAGAAAACTAAAAGCAAGTGAAGTGACTAGGGGGAACATGAGGGAAACCAGGAGGGGGCTGGGGACCATAGGGTCACAAGACATGACATAAACGTCACCAGGCTGGATTTGTCCTCTCTCTTTAGTACAAAAGACATTTTGGACCCATAAATGAAAGCAAACTAGGATGTAGAAATGGCTTTTTTTGAAATTGTATCCACTTAAAATGAAGTTGGGGTTTCGATTCGGTGAGGAAAAACCACAGGGTGGTGCTGTAATTCAGACTAGGACACAATTTTGAAAAGTTCACACAGAGTGTCGGACAGATTTTTTGCCAAATCCAAGTCTTTTGAACCATGGATGAATGGATGGATACAAACCCCAAAATGGCTAATAAGTGTTGCGTGCATTGAAATTAGATTAGGGTTATGGTCTCAGATCCAGCTTTAAATGGTCCACATGGGCTCAGAAACATAACCATCATCAATCTACAACCTCTGCAAAGGGTTCATTGTTAAAGTTGAATTAAAGTATTCCAGATTAAGACCCATTTACATCCGCTTTCCCACCATTTGATATGTTTAACAACACAAATAGAGTTCTTGAGTCTTGTTTTGGAGGACTACACATTGCTCTTAACATAGCCGTGGTCTGAAACTTTGAAGTGAGGTTTATCCCAGGTGGGTGGACATTCTGAGAAGGAGACGAGCATTTCAGAGTGAAAAGCCAGACGGAGACAGAGTGGGACAGCTGTATGTAAGAAATACTCAGCCCTCGGCGAATGGCCCACTCCGTACCAGGAAGTGAGGAGACTCGGTGGAAAATAGTTGGCATTGTTTGGAGACGGACTGCTGAGAGGCCCCGAGCTGTAATGTGTAGCCCCCAGTGGCCTAATGAGAAACATATTGATTATAGAGGCTGGCCTGCCCTCATCTGGTCAGCTGATGTTCAGTTATTGCACAGAAGAGACGGGTGAGGGTGTAAAAATGGATCTGCGAGGCTGATTGTTGTTTTGTGGCCATAGGGATGCTGACCTCACAACTGTATGAGTGTCAGGCCACAGCTATGTGTACGATGAGGAAGCTTTTCAAGCATATAACAAAACTATTTCAGTGTTTTTATTACATTTTGATGTTTCTAGGGTGTTTTATCCCTTTAGAACTTGTCTAAACTCATGTTTAAAACACTACAATCAGCCCACCGCATCACAAACCTCTTATTGTGTCAGATGGTTTTATTGGCATGGCAGAGGTTTTATTGAACTCAGCTGGCTTCTACGGAATAAACCAACTTTGGGATCTGCTCTGCAGCCGCTCGGTGAATCCTGTAAAAACAAAGTTAAGGCAAGTTCAGCACTGCAGGAGTGCATTTTTGGTTTGTGACTTGATGCAATATGTATGTTTTATCACTGCTAACAGTCTGATTCATTATAGATAAATAAACCAAAACAAAAAACAATTCATCACAGTTCAGTCCCTTTTCCTCCCTTGTATGGAAGATTAATTGAACTACATGATCAGGGAGAAGATGATCATTGTTGTTGTTTATACCATACCATACCATTTTATTTATAAAGCGCATTCAACAAGGCATTACAACCAAACAAGGCACTGTACACTAAAAATGTTAGTTAATTAAACCGGCGTCATACAGTCATGTAGAACAGAGATAAAAGATAAAAAGGAAAAACAACAAAATTCCTAAAACTAACAGTTAAAAATCAATAAGACACAGGGAGAATATAAAAATAAGAAAAACATTTTAAAAAAGAACCTCAATAATACGGAAGTTGATATTGTGAATTCCATTTTTAAACAATGCAGATGTAAGTGAGGTTCATATTATGTGGTATAAGCTAGGTTGAAGTAGTGAGTTTTCATGCGTGCTTTAAAAATGCTAGCTGTTGGTGCTTGCCTCACTAGCAGTGGTAATGCGTTCCTCAGCTTCGGTACACAGACAGAGAAAGCCCTTTCTCCACGGCTTTTTAAACGTGCATTCGGAACAGCTAGGAGGAGCTTATTTTCAGACCTGAGAGCACGCGGCGGGTTGTAGTAATGGACAAGTTCACACAGATATGGAGGAGCTTGATGGTTCAAGGATTTGTAAGTCAGAAGCAAAATTTTGAAATTTATACTGGCATTGCTGCAGTTCTCTTTTTGAACAGAAGGTGTTGCCAGTGAAGGAACAATAAATAAAATAAAGGGAAGGACAGTAGAATAATTCACAGAAAGAAGCGACATATTAAAGTTACTATGCATTTTCCCTAGCGATAGGGGGCAGTACATACATAATTCATTGCAAGCAAGCTGTATTTTTGTGTTCGAGTAAGACCTTACCAACAGATCAATCAGATTTATTTATAAAGAGCTTTTCAAAACAAAGTGCTACTCAAAGTGCTTTACAAAATGACCCCAGATTCCCATAACAGGTTAAAAACATTAACAGACATATGCAAATGCACTCATGCACTCATGCACACACACACAACCACACACACACACAAGTAAAAAATTGTATTTGGCTGAGTCCAGATGAGCAAAGTAAGTCAGGGCGCTCAGTGGAGGGGGAGCATAGACCCCCACCTCCACTTAAACACTACCTATAGAGCGCCCAGGAAGCAACAATCGACCACCGCTCCCGGGGCAGAGGGCCCCTACAGAGGAAACACTGGATTAAAATGAGTAAAAATATAATAAAAGAGCTAATATAAATGACAACAGTTAGAAAATAAGTAATAAATAAAATCATATAGACAGTAAAATAATAACATTAAATAATGAAAACAATGCTAGATGGCCATTAGGGTAAAAAATCCCAGGGAGTGCAACCTCCAGGAAAATGACAAGCAGATCAGACTCTTATTTCAGCTGAAAAAATGTACGATCTGACCACTAATGTGTGCTGCTAGATACATACATGTATAACAGCATAGGCCAAACTGCTCCAGACCGGTGCTGGCTCTGAGATCCCCCGTCATAGGATCGAGCAGACTGCAGCAACGTCCAGCATCACCCCACTGCCACCAAACTGGTGATAGGCGTTTCACAGGAACGGACAAAGATGGTAGAAACAAAAATCTTACTCAAGGCGAAAGACACATTTTAGACCGCTATGAATCAGCTGTTACAAGTTTAGACGGGTGAAATAAAAACACCATTCCTGCTATCTGTAATTTTTGGAGAGGAAATCTAAACATACATTTAAACTAAGACGTTTCATTTTAGGTAGGCCTACTATTTTGCCATCTGTTTTGAAATTATGTTCATTTCTTTGAAATTGATTTAATGGATTTAAAGTGAGGTATTTGACTAGTAGTCATGCTTGGGAGGAGGTTCCTGTCTCAGAGGAACCAGATGGGGGCATCAGCCACTCAGAATTGATCCTTTTGACCCTTTAAGGGTTCTCTTTGACTAAAGTGTGAGAAGATGAACTAAAATTTTTGGAGTGATAGAGTTCAGCTTCTTTGCTCCAGCAGGTGAGCTCAGAGGCTTCTTTTTCACCAGTGGAGGCTGTTTTCTCATTTCCGGATCTCCACCCCCATCCTCTTTTTTTCTGTCTATCCGGACCCCACCGCAAGATTGAGAACCACCGGATCATGCTTCTATTGTCCTGACGGGAGAGCGGGTTATTTACAGAATAAAGGCATGCTCGGCGCTGGCCTCTGAGCTGAGGGGGCTTTTTCTCCTTTAAATGCCCCGCTGAGTGCCAGTCCACCTGTGCTTTTGCTCTAGACGGCTTCGGCTCGTCGGCCGTCGGATGTGGGGAGTCCGCGCCGAGCAGGGAGCGCGCAGTTCCCGCGGAGAAAGGAGGAGGGACGCGGAAGGAGGGGGCGCGTTTATTTTCCAAATCGGACACATGTTGAGCTAACAGACCGATCCACCTCCTAGATGTAGCCGTTGCTTCAGTCGCTTTCCCGTTCCGCATTAGTCATTTAAAATAAAAGGACCCATCGGGTGTGTTGTTGTTCCACTCCGGGGATACGGGCTCACCGCCTCGGGAGGACAGTCACCATGGATCTGAGCAAAATGGTAAGTGGGCAGGAACCGATCATTTAGCGTAATTCAAGGAGAAAGACACCAGAGAGAGGGTTTAAAGGTTATTGGAAGTGGGGGTAGTGTCCCAGAAGTGCGTGCACACACACACACACACACACACACACACACACACACACACACACACACACACACACACACACACACACACACACACACACACACACACACACCAGGGCTGTTTGCATGCAAGTTGGTGCTTCTTGCAAGCAGTGACATGTCTTTTTTTCTGATAGACTTGCAAATGAATGTGGCCGTGGGAAGTTTGTGGCTTTTACTTTGTTTAGTTTAAAAACAAATGCATAGTTGTAGTTTGGGTCCTTGAATGTTTGAAATATTCCAAAGTCCTAACACTGAAGACCCTGAAATAAAAATGTCACACTTCTCTTTCTGAATACTGCATCAGTGAAAATACAGATTCTCCACAATCTTCTGTTTTACATGAAACTTCCAGCTCAGGGAAATTCGGTTTTAAATGTGCCACACAACTGCTACATTTGAAGTGTTGGGGACACTAGACTAAGACCATCAAAGCCTGCAGGTGTAAATTAAAAGTCAACCCAGGTGATGCATTGTCTTCATCAAGCTGCAGTACAATGAGATCTTTATTCTGCATTTCAAGGCTGAGCAAGCCATGCATTTGAATCTGAGAGCCATGAATGGTGTGATGGAGGCTCGCAGGCCGGCCAAGAGCCCGGAGTGCACGATTGGAGCAGGTGCATGCAAACCAAAAGCAACAAGACCAGTCTTTCATTGCTACATGGATAGATGGACAGACAGATGGATGGATGTGGGGGCAGGGTGTGTGATGAAAGCACCCTTCCATAGTCCTGTAATCCCAAACCAGCTCCTGAAAGCTTTTTATAAGTTTTAACACAAAGTTGATAACTGGAACAGGAATCTCACTTTAGCTGTGAAAAAAATCCAAACCACCCACATTAAATCAGATGCACCAGACAATGTGTAGGTGTAGCAACCAAGTGTCTCTCTTTAAGTTTATTTCCATTCAATGCAGCCAGAAGTCTCCCAAGGCGGTCCTGTGCAGGTTTCTTCCCTTTCTCTCCGCCTACAGTATGTTTGGACTTTTTGGCACTCAGTGGGACGTGGTGGTATGAAAAACACATTCAGATGAATGTAGAACTCCCTGCAAGCAGACACTACATTCCCACAATGCACCTTGATTTTGTGAATCGCAGTAGTAATATGTGAGGTTTGTGATTTTAGGCGATAAATGTGCGTTTGTTTGGTTGAGTGATGCAAATGCCCAGTATTAGCTAAAACACTGCAGACAGAACTGTTCTGTTGTTTTGGGATATATATAAATGGAACTGACATCTCACTCATTTTATTCAGCAACTTGTAAACAGTGGGGGATGAAAAGTGAGTTTTGTTTGAGATTAGAAAAACATTTATTAAATACAAACCAGAACTCATTCCTCAGATCACAACCGTTTAGATCATTTCAGTGAATCTGATTCAAAATAGATATGATTCATAATCATAATATCCACATTGTTGTCCACTATTTTGACCTTACCTTTATACTGTTACACTATTTTGGCAACAAACACAAGTTTATTTAAGGACATCTGCTCAGTGACCGGCTGCTCAACGTCGATGTGAAAACATGGAATTAACGTGTAAAGGGAGAGTGAATTCAGTTTCATTAAAGGTATGATTTGTTTTATTTACGTCAAACATGAGAGCCGATATCCTATAAGCCGCAAGAAGAACAAAGAAAAGCCTCACTTTGATCTCATAAGTGTTTTTATTGTTGCATCTCTGAAGTTCAGGGTTTTCTCCTCAGAAATGTTGTCTACACAGTGTGTTCAGCTGCTGTCTTTAACCGTCATTCATGCACATGTAATCCCAGAGGATTGTGTGTGTGTGTGTTTGTTAATGATTTAATATTTTAAAGGGACATCTAGTTATTAGAGACTTTTGTGCCTAGAAACATAGGTTGTTATGAACACACTAGCTCATTTAAAGGTTTTTTTAGTCGAAAGCGTTATGTTTGACGTAGTTTATCTCCCCCTGGTTCAACATTCCTGAGTACAACCGTATGAGACCACTAATAACCCCGTCTGCTGCAGGAGATTGTCTCTTTAAACTGCTGTCAGCTATTTGGGAAGTCTCAGGTGAACCCTGTATGTTTGTAGATGTGGGGAGAAGGTGGGCTGCTCTAAGCTAGGCAGATGTTTCTTTTATGATGCTCCTAACTCCACAGGAAGTTGAGCTTCTTCACACGTTGCCGCAGAGACGCTGTCCTGTCAGGACGGCGTTTGAACTGTGCGGATCTTTAACCAGCTGCTGCCCTCAGCAACACCAGCCACCACCTCCCCACCCCATTGCACCAATGTCACTCACACTCCAAATAGCCTGAAGCAATTTATTTTTATGTTTTAACTAATGGGCTCTGAAGAGACGCCATCATTCCACTGGGTTTATCTGCATCACCAAATGCTACCTTATCAAAGGGTTCGAAGATGCTCATCCGATTCTGAGGAAAACTGTACTCCTACTGACGATTTTGTTGGTGGGGTTTAGGATGATGAAGCTTTGCAAGAGACATTTGAGGCATTTTTTGTCAGATGCAAAATGCTAAAGGAAGTATGTTGACCTTCATTTTAGGTGGAGCTCCTGCAGATTTCTTTCACTTGAATGCATTTGAAGCTCACTCTGCTGATGGATGTGTGTTTTTTGTGAAGTTTGGTTTCACTTAAAGGCTATTTTTGATTTGGTGTTGAGTCATGGCAGCCATCGTATGGGTTCAAGGACCTGTGGCGTTCTGTTGGCAGCAGATTTTAATACTCTCAAAAAATATTGATGGGATTTAATTTTGCAACTGATTTTAGGATCGACCCAATGTCAAGAATGTCCACTGCAGCTAATCGGTGTTAGCTAACACAAATGTGACAATTAATTCTTACAGACATTGAACTAAAATGTGGTGTTAAAGTAGCTGAGACTCGTCCATGCCGCATACTTTATGCTCTGCAATTGTGCAACTTTTTTCTTTAAAAACATTAGCATGAACTGTTGGGAGTTCACCTGTTGGTCTGTTAGCAAGATCTGTGATGAACTCTGTGCTGTAAAAATCAAGGAAAATCCTGTGAAATTTTCTGGCATTTTCTGTCAACAGAGATGTGCAAACTCCATGCAGAAAGACCCCAGGCCAGAACCTTTTTGCTGCAAGGCAATAGCGCTAACCATTGCACCAGTTGTGCAGCCTAGCAACCACTATAACCTTATTTAATCATTTATCAGTGCCTTTTATGGATTTATACTATATAGAACTCCCGAGTTGTGTTAGAATCTATAAGCTTACAGTCATTGTTTTTTATTATGTATATTGTTTGTTTTTATCTGAACCCTGCAGCTAAAACTTGCATTTATATCAGTTCTCTTGTTCGCTCTTCCTTCTTCCATCTCAGGAACATTGCTAAGCTGAGTCCCATTCTGTCTCGCTCTGAACTTGAGACAGTTCTCCACACCTTCATCTCCTCATGCTTAGACTACTGTAACTCTCTTTTCACGTGTCTGAGCAGAACCTCCCTGAACCGTCTACAGGTGGTTCAGAATGCCTGTGCTCGGCTTCTGACCAAGTCCTCCAAACACACCCACATCACCCCGCTTCTCCTCCAACTTCACTGGCTGCCAGTCAACTTCAGGGTCCATTTCAAGAACCTGGTTCTGGTCTATAGGGCTTTACATGGACAAGCACCATCTTACATTGGTGATCTTCTCAGTCCCTACACCCCCAGCAGGTCCCTGAGGTCCAGTGATCAAAGCCTACTGGTTGTGCAGCACCAGGCTAAAGACCAAAGGTGACAGATCATTTGCTGCTGTGGCCCCCAGACTCTGGAACTCTCTCCCGCTGAGCCTGAGATCAGTGGTCTCCTTTAAAAATCAGCTGAAGACTCACCTGTTCAAACTGGTTTTGATGTGACCTTCATCACATCCTCTACTCATTCTGCCTTTCCCTGGATCCACTGATTACTTATTCATTTTCTTTTTCACTTTCCACACATTTTAAAATCAGTTTTTACTCTTCCCTGATATTTATTTTAATAATTTTTAATCTGTTTTTATTTTGTATTTTGAATGGTCGTTTTTATGAAGCGCCTCGTGATTTTTATCTTGAGAGGATCTATATAAAAGATTGTTTCCTCTTCTTCCAACAGGACAGGAGGTGAAAGACTGAATGTAGTTGTATTTTTACAACTCCACTAATCCTAATGACTCTCGGTTGAACATGCTGGATATGTAAAAAGGCATATAAATGTTTGAGAATTGAATAAATGTTCTGAATTGTTTGGATATTTATCACTTTGCCTCAACACAACAGTGCTTGGTAGGTTAAGGGTTTAGTAATATTCCTCATCATCATATTCACACAAAAATATCTGGATGTGATCAGAAATAAAGACAGAACAAAGGGTTCGGTCTCAGCAGCTAGGTTGGACTGAGCCAGGGTTATTATTTAGCTGAAGGGGTAGATGGAGCAGGACATTTTTCAGCAGGCCGGCAGGAAATGGGCAGTGCAGGGTGTGCCAAGACAGGAAGCCTGACTGTCTAACCCTCTCCCCTACCACCACCACCACCTTGGCACATCCACCCCTAGAGATTTAGCCACAGCTACCAAGCCTCCACCACTGCACCTCGGCATCACATTACTGCTGCATTCACAGTTCATTTCCTGTTTTCTTTCCTCTGCTGCTCACCTGTCATCCCACACGGGACAGTAGCTGGTCAAGTCTCCGTTTGGAGCTCCAGTCTCTGACACATCTCAACACATTTCTTGGGAAAACTAAACCTCTAGAGTTTACTGACAGAAATGACATTTAGGAGAAGCTACCCTGCGTTCTTGAGTCCTGTTTGACTTGGTAAGTTTACAAAAACAGCAACGAGAAGGGCAGGAATACTTGGTGTGTGATGTTTGAACATTTTCTTTCAATAACACTTCCCATGCCGAG